TAATTAAGGACACATTTAAATGCCATCTGCGGCTTTGAGGAATCTGTAAAATATTTCCAAGACATAGAAAAATTGGCACATGGTCCGAGAATACTATATTACCAATACTTGAATCTATAGAGTTATTCACTAAGGCTTCAGAAATAAGAAAGTAGTCGATTCTAGTATAAACATTATGAGGCGGAGAGTAAAAGGAATATTCCCTGCCTCCTGGATGCATTGTCCGCCAAATATCATTCAGACCTAAACCTGAGGTCATCTGCCTTATGGCAACTACAGATTTACTCTCTGTGCCTGTCCTAGGAAGCGATCTATCTAGGTCTTGATCCAGTATTTGATTAAAATCTCCTCCTACCACTATTTGTGCACCTTCTAATTCCAAAAGATACTGTGACAGGTTATGAAAAAAGGTGAGTATGTCCGCATTAGGTGCATAGATATTACATAAAATTATTGGTGTGTCCAGTAGTTGTCCATAAACCAATATAAATCTACCTTCCTTATCTGTTATTACTTTTGTTTCAGTAAAGCTAACTGCTTTATGAATCAGAACCGACACTCCCCTACTTTTACCAGTTCCAGGACTGGAAAAGACTTTACCTACCCAGGAACATTTAAGTTTTAAGGCTTCTGACTTACACGTGTGCATTTCTTGAATAAAGGCTATATCAACTCTTGATAATGTAACACACAATACTTTACCACTACTGAATGTAGAGAAAGTTAGGATCTTAGGCTTATGGTGTCTAGGAATCGACTAAGGCGCGAATGACACACAGCTCAAAGAACAGTCAACATTTATTCAAAACAAACCAAAAACAGTCATTCAACAGTTCACAACAGTTCCAATTGTCCATATTTGTCAGTCTGTGTATTCAGTTTTAGAGTTCAGAGTTCAGTGTCCAGAGTTCAGTGTTCTTTTCAGTTCAGGTGTGTGAGTATAGTGTTAATGTTAGTAGTACTACCCGGGTAGTGTATTGTTCTGAGATCTCATAAGCTTATCTGTCAAGAAGTCACGCAGTTGTCACTTTAAGTAGGCTGGAAATCTTTCCTGCATCGCAGCTGGGGATCCGGAATCCTGGCTCGCAACTTTAGACTCCAACAAAAAAACCAACCTGCACAGGGCAGTGAACATATTTTACATGAATATCATATAACAACTTAACACTAGTGACCAAATGTCTCTCACTCTTTGTATATAACGACTTAATGCAATCAATAATAAAATTAATCAAAGAGCCTTAAAACAATTTCCACATCATACAAATTTAACTCAAATCTCATATTTTGTGAACAGCAGTCACATCAATCCAATGAATTGAGAGAATGTACATTACTGATGCACGAGGAAAGTACAAAACATGGTCGCAGTACTATTTAGCCAAAGACTGCTCATATTTATCATCTCATTACAATAAATAAAACTTACCTACTAGCTTCCAAAGAAATATTTCCGATTGGTTTAAAACATTCACAAGTGAAGAAATAAAAAGATAATACAGCACTTAAAAGGAACACATGAAATTTACATTATACTAAGCTAATGATTAGCTGACGATTAGCTTGCTATGCTAGCGCAGTTAGTCAACTCACCGGAAATGAACAAAAAACACAAAAACAGAGGTACATCAGCATCAACAAGCGGAAAAGTAAAATCCAATTTGTGTCTTCACACACAACCTTTTTCTTGAACAAGGATTAAAGAAAAACTCGGTGAGTAGCTCCGACCAGCATACGTAGCCTTAGCGCTATTCTCCTTCTCTACAGTTCTCAACTCAAGTTCACAAGCACTAAACAATCTCATAGTGCCACCTACTGACATTCTTTGGGAACAGCAGTTCATTTTCATGAGGCAAATTTTAGGTGGGTTACAATAACTTTAGATATGTTAATATTTTCTTCCTCTTAATCCCGTTATTCAACCCCTTAACATTCCAGCTGGCTATTTTGAAATCTGTCTGTCTATCCATGTTATATGTTGTCTCCTTGACCTGGAGACAACATATAAGATGACACCGCCATGGACCTCAACCTGCAGGCTTTGTGTTACCTGTTTCTTTATACAGGAGCATGTAGGGGTGGACTGCCTTTTTATTTGATTACCCTTTTCTCATGTTTTTCTTAGTTAGGGACATTTTGGGGGACGTTATACTCTTACTTGTTAAACACATGCTCCCATCCACTCTCTTGGTCCAGAAGCTCCATAATCCAAGTGTCCCAACTCAGGTCTGATGGCCTTTTTTCAGTTGTGTTTTTAACCTCTTGGGAACTTTCACTACATTCCTTACTTGATGCAGAAAGAAGAAACGAGTCAGGGATGCATAGCAAGCACAACAAGACACCAGCAGCCCAGACCTTTCACCAACTGAAGACATTTGCAGCACCATAAAACATGACAGAGAAGAGCTGGGACTATGTGAAAGGGTGAAGTGCTGCAGTCAAGTTGCAATGGTCCTATCTTTTATACAGTCTATGGTTCACTCTATTAAGATGTGATTATTTCCAAGGTCCATTTAGTTTTAGTTAGCTGAAGCTAAACCAGAAGTTAAAACGAGATGGTGAAAAACATTTTTAGTTAATGTTACGACTGTTGTCGTAATGTTGTCTCATATGTAAATCTGAGTGTGCAGGTGCCTTTCCGTGATTGGTGCATCCATGGGACAGCCCATACAGATTGGCTAATGACCTGGAGACAACATATAAGATGACACCGCCATGGACCTCAACCTGCAGGCTTTGTGTTACCCGTCTCTTTATACAGGAGCATGTAGGGGTGGACTGCCTTTTTATTTGATTACCCTTTTCTCATGTTTTTCTTAGTTAGGGAGATAAGACATTGTCATTTGGTTTTATTCTTTTCATAAATAAGTTTTGTACATCCTTTAGATACGGTCCCTTTTGTTTGTTGTTTTGGGGTCCACCCCGAAGCTATAGTTCGCTCCTTTCCTTTGTTAGAATTCAATCACTGTGAAAAAAAATCACCATCAAAATTGTACTGGTTGTGTGATGTGCTGCTTGGGGTCAGACAGGGGTGGATCACCCTTATATTATGGTCTGGCCACCCTTAGAAAGGCCATAACACTAACTAAAATGAAAATTAAAACTAGACTTATAACTGGCTGGTGTCCTTACCAGTGACCTTGGGTCTGAACTGTGGGCTCCTCTTTCCAGGTGTTCGTACTGCCTGAGTGGGACCAAGATGTGCTGTCTTGCCTCTTTTGGGTTTTCTGCATGTTTCTGGCTCAACATGCAAGTATCCACTTCTTGACGTTCGCTGTTGGTTGCAGCCACTTGAGGTTTTTGGGCTCATTTGGGTTCTCAACACTGGGTGACTTTGATGGGAGTGAAAGCATCCTCACAACATAAATCACCACACTACCTGCTTTTGTTTCAGATTTTTTCTTTATCCTTGTTAACATGTTTGGGTACTGGGTTTACCTGTAATGCATTTTGTGCTCCAAAAGCTGTTATTTTGTGCAGCTGTGCTCCAAAAGCTGTTAGCATGACCTTTTTTATCATTAGATTGTGCCACACCAGCATCTGAGAGAAAAGCTTTGAGTTTGATTTTGTGTTTGTGTTTTGCAGGCACTCAGGAGAATAAGTCATGATGTTTCTTGTGTTTGTCATGTTAGTATCTCAGTGCTTGTCAATCACCAGTCAACAGTGTCACCACTGTGAACAACATCCTTCGACTGTTCGAGCCAAAACCTTGGAGAAGTCCCTGCAGCCGCTTCAAAACTCATCACTGAGCTCGATCTCTCTTTTAACACGCTGGAGACAACAATGAAAGATGACTTTCTTTCATATGCTGCTTTGAGGGCTTTGTTCGTGAATAACAACAGAATCAAAACCATCCATGAAGAGACATTTCACCCGCTGATTAATTTGGAGAAACGGGACTTCCACAAACCAGTTGGAGACTTTGTCCTCTGGATGGTTTCAGAACCTGATTTCTCTCCACTAGTTCAATCTTTTGGGAAACAAATATACAACACTGGGTCCGGGAAACCTTTTCCTGCCACTGAGGAGCTTGAAGACCCTCCATTTTTGAGGAGCTTTCCTTCAGTCTGTCAGTGAAAGGGATTTTGTTGAACCTTGAAACTGCCGTGACCCTGTCCAAAGACCAGCTGGCCACCTGGCCGGGTCAGTCATGGATATTCACAAATACCCCATAGTACTGGTGGAAAAGAAATATTGAGGGAAAATCCATGTTCAGACCATGTTCAGTGTGTCGTGACACTTGCACGATGGAAGAACACACCCACTTGTTGGTGCCAGAAGAGCCACTGAGAAATTATTGTTTTAGCTGGCTCATTACAAGTCGATGGCTGCTCACCTGGAGTAGGATAAAACTCTGGAGCGAATAATTGCCCGATTTTACTGGACAGGAAACTGTTTTAGACTTAGAGCTTTTTATTGTCATTGTGCAGTTTCTTGCACAGTGAAATTGGGTAAGTGGAGAGCATAGAGCCGCTGTATCTGTGCGCACCACCGTCTTGCATTTTTTGCATGTTTGGCTGGTGTCACTTTTGGACTTTGCTACCTGTAGCTAAACATTTGCAGCTAAATCATTTATTTAAAAGCAGAAGCTGCAACTGATCGAGGGAATATTTGTCTGAAAACTTAAACTGAACTCCAAGGGTACCATTGCTCCAGCTCACCATCTTTACCTGAGTGAATCAGTTTGTTGAACAATCTAAATGATTCAGAAACTTCTGTGACATCAACTTAACTAAGGCTCATTACAAATTTCACAAAACACTGCTGAATACTTTTAATATTTTTTTATTAGTTATTTTTGTTTTTGTTGTTATTTTGATTTTAATAAAACAAAATAACATAAAGAATTAAATCATTTCTTTGGTTTTTTTTATTTAATTTATTTTACAAATAAATTAATAATAATATTAATAATAATAACAACAAATTAGTGCTGTCAGCGTTAACATCATTTTACCTAATGACGTTAACACTGACAGCACTAATTTGTTGTTCCCAGAGAGCAAGCCAAACACTGGTCCAGAAAAGGACGATCTCTAGTAGATTTTGTTTTAACCTCCTAGGACCTGGTGTCCACATATGTAGACATAACATTTTGGGTTGTCTAGACCAAAATACAAAATTTTGCTCTTCAAAAACCTGATATCCACTTATGAGGGAGGACATGACACTGCCACTGTTCAATCGAAATTTAAAATGAATGTCCTCATATGTGGATCTCATTCTTTTGAGAAACAAAAAAAAGATAGTCCGAATCTGATGTCTTGGTTTTTACCTTCATCGGGTCCCAATCAACCTAAATGGCACAGAGAAATTAAAAATGCATGCCATGAAAGTTCAGGTCTTAGGAGGTTAAAAATGTCCCTGCTGATGAGACCAGTGAATGTGGGGCGACGGTGGCAAGAAAAAACTCCCTCCTGGAGGAAGAAATCTTGGGAGGACCAGGCTCTCTGGCAGGACCCTCCCTCCTGAGGGCAATACTTACCTATACTTGTCCTCCAGTGTGCGATGGTGGGCTGGGACGACTGCTTTTCCTTCTCAGCATGATGATGACCTTAACTTCCTTCCTTCCTTCCATTTCCTGTTTCAGAACTGAGAATGAAGACAAAACTGGTTAACAAGGTAACAGGACATTTAAAAATTCTCTCACTTCAGGATGAGATGCTGTGTCTTCTTACGTTTCTCTTGTAAAACAGGATGTAGGCCGACTGCTGCTGTTCCTCACAAACTGCAGATCCAGTTGTGTGGAGCACCTGTGCGTCATTATAGGTGAGCCAGCGATCTGATGTAGAGTGCTGACTCTCCTCAGGATGGACAGAACTACAGATGTAGTGTCCTGAAATCACATTAAGACAAATGAATCCAACTTCTGGAAGTCAACTGATTCAAGCAAACAGTGATTTTGACTTAGTGCTTCTTAGAACATCAAAAGCTTTTGTGTGTGAGTCCTTCACTGAAAAGTAGCAAGTTTCATTTTCTGTTTGTCACAAGTCTGTTGTTTTACCTGACTCTGTGCCTCCATAATGACTGATGATGCTGCAAAGACTATAACAGCCACCACCCTGAGAAGGAACAAATCCAAAGAGTGTTAGTTTCATAAAGTCTCACATCAGTGCCATAATTAAGCTGATTTGCTGAGGCTACGTCCACACTAATGCGTTTTCGTTTGAAAACGCATCGTTTTCTCTCCGCTTTGACCTCCCGTCCACACCGAGACGGCGTTTTCCTCAAGGAAAAACACAGCATCTTGAGAACGCTCTCGAAAACGCATACATTTCAAAACGGAGTTGTCCCATCGCAGTGTGGACACTCGAAAACGCAGACTTTCTAAAACGATGACGCATTTTGGTCATGTGATGCAGTCATGTGAGCAATTAAACAAAGATAAGCCGAGTGCATTAGACAGCAGTTGTTTTGATTGCTCTCAACTTTGACAGCCCTAAAAAAGATTAATATCAGTTTGTACATGCTCCGGATAGCTTTTCTTCAAATTCTGTAATTCTCACTCACTTTTGCGCATGCGCAGGACTGGAACGTAAGCGTTTTCGGCCGTTTCAATGCAGACGCACAACTATTTGAAAATGACTGAAAACGCCAGTGTGGACACGGAGTTTTCAAATCTATCCGGGCTAGTGTGGACGTAGCCTGAGACGTTCTGCAGTCTGTTTTTACCTGATTGGATGGCACCACCAAGTCCCTCTGCAGCCTGACGGGGTCATCCACCTTCTTAATCTTGTAGGTTTGTGTAAAGCCAAACCTCTTCAGATGCAAGATCAGAACTCTGGCAGAAAAGAAAAAAAACACAAACAAGGTAGAAAATAAGAAGAATGAGTGTCAAACACAAACAGAAGATGGGAGAAAACGACTGCTCAAGTATTGTCTCGAAGAACTCTGATATTTGATGCGCCACAGTTTGGAAACCTGGTCAGTCGATCAATTCTGATGTGACCTTACTCACCTTGGCAGTGTATCAAAAGACGACTTCAGTTCTGAGGCCGTCCCTCCACAATCACAGCGAAATTCTATTTCTTGTTCCTGAACAACAGCACAGAGAAAACAGGCTTTATGGTAGAAAGAAATCTCAACATATGCACACACACATGCACACAAACACTAACAAAAAAGGTGTGTTAAGATCGCTGATACGACAACTCTATTGGAATTTGTGATCTTACCTTCAAGTATGTCTCTAACATGTTTATAATAGACCCCTCTGGAACAAGGTCTAGAGACAAGCTGGTGAATTCCTCTTGCTGTGATGATTGGTGACCGCAGCTACACATTTCAGGAGTAACGTAGTTAAAGTAAAGATCAGGTACGTGGAAAAGAGGTATATGAAAATATTGCAACCAGCTCTGCGTTTCTGAAAGACAGGCTTACCTCTTGCATGTCCTCATGTTTTCCATTTTAAAAATGTGATGGTCTTCTACTGGGCAGCTATAACTTTGGCCCAGGAGAGCTGCGTTCCTCTCCAGGTGAGGTGTGAGCCTTTTGACCTCATCGAGGAATAATGTTAGGAATTCATGAGCGTCCTGAAAGAAAAGCAGAGAGATTTAAAACAGTACATCAAAATCAGAAGGTAAAGCAAAAAACGAAATGTCCAAATAGCTGACGCACTTTCTGTGCACTGCCGGTGTATTCAGGAGCTTGACTGCTGAATGCCTTCTTAAAAGCTCTTAGGTGGTGATCTTTAAGGCCATAATCTGTTGACTCGTGACAGTCCCTGACATCAATAAGCCTTCTGTAGAAAGGAAGGGTAAACAGACATTTCTGCTGTTAGATCTCTTTGTTCTTCAGGTTTTTGAAGAAAGTAGAAGGTTGACGTAGCGCACCTTAAGAGCTGAGCTTCTGGATCTGTGCTCCACAAAACCCCCTGACGCCTGATGTCTCTTATGAACTCCTCAATGTTGAGGAGGCTCTGCAGGCAGGAGTTCATGTAGCAGGTGTTTCCGATGTTTGGAAACCTGACACACACGCGCAACGTTTACAGTATCAGTGTAAAATAATTCATTTTCTCCACTTTGACAAAGTGAGTCTTTGTGCACCACGTGTACTCACCCGAAGCAGTCTATAGTCCCAGTTTGACTTTCTATTTTTTTCCCACCGCATGCTACACTGCTCCAAAAAGGTAAAAACACAAACACAAAATTAGGAAAGATGTCAAGATTCTGAGCAGTGTATGCGCATGTATGCATGAGCTTTGAAGTTGAAACATTTTGGAGGACGTCCAAAAGTAGTAAAAAAGATGTAAATACACAAGGTGGAAGAAAAATGCCAATAAAAGGGAAATAAAACAGCTCCAACTAAACCACTGCTATAAATATCTCCAGCAGCATTAAAGAGCGGCGCATTTCTTTACCTCTGATGAGACGTAGAAGGAATTTCCTTCTCTGCCACGTTTTGTTTGTGTAATTTCTGTTTAGAAACAAGAAAACCAACATCAGTAATGGCATAAAACAAACATACCAAGGGAGTCTCTCCATGAAAAGTGTCCAGTTAGAAAATTTGGTATTATTTCATATTATTTATCACTTCAGTGAGCTGTCAGCTCATGAAGCAGATATATAGGAATATCTTTAAATAAAATAAAAACAATTTATTCATGCTTTAAATTGAGTTTTAAAGTTTGTCCTATGAAATACAAAATCCTTCATTTGGTTCTGATCAAAATTCAGTTTTTACAGAAATCATCCATCAAACTTCATTAAAAGATTCAAAAATGCTTATTTACCATAAAAAATATTTAGAGAAACATCCTGCAAGTCTCTTCAAACTTACCTTTCTGTGAAAAAAAAAACGTTTAAACATCTTTGAACTTAATTTGAGGACATGGATGTGCTAAATTGCTCTTAATTCTTCGCATTTAACTGTGGTGAGTAAATGCTTGATGACAGTGACTCTTTCCATAAAACATACCTTCCAGAATTTAAAAAGAAACCAGCGACACTTTTTTTGTGTCTTCACAGTGTTGCTCTCTGCCTCTGCATCGCTGTCAGTTTGCTGCAGAGGACGAACAAACATAAGTTTATTAAAAAAGTAAAGTCACTTTAAATTAACAAGTGCAATTTAAAGAGAATGTGCATTTCATATGTTTCGTGTAAAAGCAAACCGAGGAACAGCAGAGGTGTCTCCATTTTCTCTTCTTCTTTTGACCATTTTCAGCAACACAAGCATCCGGGATGCTGATGAGGACAAAAGTGTAAATGTTATTTTTCAAAGTGGAAATTTTTAACAAGGAGTACATGCTGGAGATTGCAGATAAAAATTAATAACTGTAATGGAACAAAATCATGTATTTTGTACATTTACACTCTACATTTTCAAACGCTAATCTCTGAATCAATAGAAATTATAGACAAGACTAGAAGTAGTAAAAAAGATGTAAATACAAAACACCAATAAAAGGGAAATAAAAGAGCTCCAACTAAACCACTGCTATAAATATCTCCAGCAGCATTAAAGAGCGGCGCATTTCTTTACCTCTGATGAGACGTAGAAGGAATTTCCTTCTCTGCCACGTTTTGTTTGTGTGATTTCTGTTTAGAAACAAGAAAAGCAACATCAGTAATGGCATAAAACAAAGTATATGGTAAGAAAATACAATATCCTTCATTTGGATTCAAAATTCAGTTTTTACAGAAATCATCCAAGAAGCTTCCTTAAAAGTTTCAAAAATGCTTATTTACCATAAGAAAACATTCAGAGAAATGTGCTGCGAGTCTCTTCAAACTTACCTTTCTGTGAAAAAGAAGTTTAAACATCTTTGGACTTGATGTGATCGCAGCCAAAATCTCCTCAGCTTTGCAAAAGTTCAACTGAAAACAAGCAGTCAAAGGTTGTATATTTATAAACTTTCAGCATAGAACGTTCATACCCTGAACAGCAAACATCAGCATTATGATGTATGGGGCTCATTTGCATATTTTGGAATGTATGCTCATTTGAACTGTATGGTGCTCGTCTCCAAGCAACTGCTACAAAAACAGGTCAAGTCAAGTGGCTTTTATTGTCATTTTAACCACGTGCAGAGGTACTGTACAGAGTGAAATGAGACCGCGTTCCTCCGAGACCCTGGTGCTATATATGACATATACGGACAAACCCAGGACTACATAAAGTGCAGTGTGCATAAATTGCAAAAATAAACAAGACAAAACAGTGCAAAACTAGACAGAACAGGACGATACAGACACAAGACAATGGAAATGTGCAAAATGCTGAGTATTGTGCAAAAGTAACTTGGTGTCTGTATGTATGTGTATGAGTGTGACATACTGCAGATAAGTGCTTGGTAGTGACATGTGTGAAGGTGTGCGTGTGCCAGTGCAGTCACTGAGTGTTCAGGGGTCTGACGGCTTGTGGGAAGAAACTTTTCCGTAGTTTGGTAGTGAGGGCCCGGATGTTCTGGGACCTCTTTCCAGAAGGCAGCAGGGTGAAGAGTGTGTTTGAAGGCTGTGTGGGGTCCTCCAGCAAGCGGGTGTTATAAGGAGGGGAGAGGGACTCCAATGATCTTCTCAGCTGCTCTCACAATCCGTTGTAGGGTACTGCGATCTAATACGCTGCAGTTACCATACCAGACAGTGATGCAGCTACTTAGGATGCTCTTGTTAGTCCCACTGTAAAAGGTGGTGAGAATGGATGGTGGGAGATGGGCTTTCCTCAGCTTCTGCTTGAAGTAGAGACGCTGCTGGGCCTTCTTGGTTATGGAGCTGGTGTTGAGGGAGCAGGAGAGGTTCTCCGCCAGGTGGACACCAAGAAATCTGGTGCTCTTGACGACCTCCACAGAGGATCCATTCATGTTAAGTGGGCAGTGATCCCACTGTGCTCTCCTGAAGTCAACAATCTCTTTTGTTTTGTCCACGTTCACAGACAGGTTGTTGACTCTACACCTCTACAGATGGCCCGCAGTGCAACCCTTCAGCTTCCTACTAGATTCACCTATATACAAATTTAAAGACCTAGGAGACTTACTTCTCGTCACAGAGTTGTAGCATTCACAAGATTTTCAGAAAACTTGAACTCAAGGTCAAGGTCACTGATATTCAAACTGACCCCAGAACTTTAGTAGATGCACCAATGGTATCAATTCAAAATCCTACGCTTCTCGTTCCATTTTTATTTCACTATCTGTAACTAAGACAAATAAACAGTATTTGAGACACAAGTCACTATTAAAGTGGTTCGTGAGACTCCACATCTGATAACAGTATAACACACTGCTTATTTATGTAAAATTGTCATCAATAAATGTGTTCAAAACAGAAGCTACACTGGCTTTAAAAGTTTTTGTTAACTCTGACTACCTGTCTGCTCTTACCTGTTTCTTTTGCTCTCTGCTGTCTTCATCCTCCATCCAACTCTACATTGTATTGTTAGGGATGACATGATGAAACTGAAGGGTGTCTGGGCACCGAAAAAAGAAAAGAAGAGAGACTGGATTAGGCTGCAGCTGGCGTGCCATTCTCTCACTTCAGGATGAGATGCTGTGTCTTCTTACGTTAATCTTGTAAAACAGGATGTAGGCTGAGTGCTGCTGTTCCTCACAAGCTGCAGATCTAGTTGTGTGCAGCACCTGTGCGTCATTATAGGTGAGCCAAGGATGTAGAGTGTGGACTCTCCTCGGGACGGACAGAATTACAGATGCAGCAGCTGTTTCCGATGTATGGAAACCTGACACACAAACAAAAGTTTACAGTATCAGTGTAAAATAATTCATTTTGTCCAGGTTGAGAAGGTGAGCTTTGGTCCTTGTGCACCACGTGTACTCACCTGAAGCTGTCTGTAGTCTGAATTTTATTTTCCATTATTTATCCACCGCCCAAATGTTTCACTGCGCTACTGCAAAAAGGTAAAAACACAAACACACAATTAGACACTGAGCACTGGATGTGCATGCATGCATGAGCTTTGAAGTTTAAACTTTTTTTTATCATCAACAATTTTTATTTATTTCATTTTAAACTTCAATAACAGAGCTTAAGGATAACTACATAAATAAATAGTTTAAAAACAAACAAACAAAAACAAAACAAAAACAAAACAAAGGGAAGTTATCCTATTCTTTCTTCGCACACCAATTCCCACACCACCACTCTGTCATTACTCCTCTGTTCTTCAAGTTACAGAAAGCCAGCTTGTAAAGGGGGACCAAATACAATCATATTGATGCAATTTGTCTAATAAACCATAAGTCACTTTTTCGTAAGACGCCAACTTAGCCATTGTCTTTAGCCACTCTTCATAGGGAGGGGGGGTTCTTTTTCCGCCAATGTCTTAGCAGGACCCGTTTGGCCGTAGTAAGAGCCAAAATAATCCATCTTTTTGTATAACTGGAAAAATCTACAGGGAGTGCAGAATTATTAGGCAAGTTGTATTTCTGAGGAATAATGTTATTATTGAACAACAACCATGTTCTCAATGAACCCAAAAAACTCATTAATATCAAAGCTGAATGTTTTTGGAAGTAGTTTTTGTTTTTAGTTTGAGCTATTTTAGGGGGATATCTGTGTGTGCAGGACTATTACTGTGCATAATTATTAGGCAACTTAACAAAAAACAAATATATACCCATTTCAATTATTTATTTTTACCAGTGAAACCAATATAACATCTCCACATTCACAAATATACATTTCTGACATTCAAAAACAAAACAAAAACAAATCAGCGACCAATATAGCCACCTTTCTTTGCAAGGACACTCAAAAGCCTGCCATCCATGGATTCTGTCAGTGTTTTGATCTGTTCACCATCAACATTGCGTGCAGCAGCAACCACAGCCTCCCAGACACTGTTCAGAGAGGTGTACTGTTTTCCCTCCTTGTAAATCTCACATTTGATGATGGACCACAGGTTCTCAATGGGGTTCAGATCAGGTGAACAAGGTGGCCATGTCATTAGTTTTTCTTCTTTTATATCCTTTCTTGCCAGCCACGCTGTGGAGTACTTGGACGCGTGTGATGGAGCATTGTCCTGCATGAAAATCATGTTTTTCTTGAAGGATGCAGACTTCTTCCTGTACCACTGCTTGAAGAAGGTGTCTTCCAGAAACTTGCAGTAGGACTGGGAGTTGAGCTTGACTCCATCCTCAACCCGAAAAGGCCCCACAAGCTCATCTTTGATGATACCAGCCCAAACCAGTACTCCACCTCCACCTTGCTGGCATCTGAGTCGGACTGGAGCTCTCTGCCCTTTACCTTTTTTTTTTTTTTTTTTTTTTGCCTGTCCCGTTTGGCTCTTTTGCCATCAGAATTATTGTCTAAAGGCAAAGAAAGATGCCCAACGGATTTACTTTACCAAATTGACCATCCCAGCCTTGCCATAATGGTCTATTTGAGTCACCTTTTATTGTTTATTTCATTTTCACTTGCTGAATACGGGACAGACTTGACTGGGGGAAAGAAGGGGAGAAAGAAAGAGGGAAAGAGAAACAGCTGAGAAGAGGGACGGGGGAGAAGGGCAAAAAACAAAAACCAACAGAATGGGCAGAAAAAAAAAGAAAGAAAAAGAAAAAATGCATATATCGATCAGCTGGATCACCTGTTGAGAAAGAAAAAGGAAAACAAGCAGAAGAGAACAAGAGTAATAGAATAAACAACATCACAATGATATATGGGAATATGACAGTAAATACTAAATATTAAACATTATTGTGCAGCACATAAGATCAACAGAACACAGTGTGCTTTGAGGTAGGAGCCAAAAAGGGTGTAGTTTGTGGGTGTGATCACCCGTGTGTACACCTGTGAGCATGGACGCGCTTGTTTTTTTAAAAGGTTCCTTCATGTAATGATCTGCTAGAGGGTGTGGGGGGGCCACAGCCCCGTCCCCCAGGGCATGAAGCAGGTATGGAGGAGATCAAAACTCCAGACATCCAGAGGCCCTCAGAACACAAGAGACCAAGGAAGACCAACAGAGGGGCAGCTGCGCCACTGTCCCAGAAAGAGCTGAGGAGAGTCCCGGATGAGGGTTCACTCAGCAGCCGCGAAGCAGAAGCCAGGGGAGTTGCAGTGACGCGCCCGTGTGCTCCGCCGGCAGCCAGCTGTGCCTGAGTGACCGAGCCCCAGGCCGAGAGGCCGGGGGCACCCCACCTCCGAACTGGCCCGAGCGAGCCCCAGGCTCCAGGCCCCGACAAGCGGCCGCCAAGGAGTGAGCCGGTGTGTACCTGGACGCCCATCCCCAGACACAAAGAACCACCAACGCACCGATGTCTGAGGGAGTCCGCCACTGGCAGGGGAAGTGGTGGTGGGGGGAGATAGGCCTCCAAACCTTGGAGGGCCTGAGATGTCCTCAGAGAGGTGGCGCCTGACACCCAACCTGACATATAGACACAGACATACAGGCACACACAGATACAAACATCCATTCCCACCCTCATGCTCTCATATGCACTTACTCCACACTCAACCAACGTGGAGACAGACATAAAGAGACGCTGTACACACGATCACACTCCCCAAGCGTACTCTACGAACCGGGTCTAGGTACCCTTGCCCCTGGAGGGGGGAACTGCACCCAGACCCAGGTGGTGTTACCCTTTTCCACAGAGCTCAGGACAGTCCACCCAACCCAGAACCTCACGCCCATCCCGGACCCACCCAGGGGCAGCCAGGCTACCAGGTCAGTAACCCACGTCCGTCAGCACAGACCCTCCCCTAGCCCCGCTGCACGCAGCCACGAGGAAACAGTCACCCGAGAGCCAACAGAGCCCCTAACCGGACATGACCGCTACCCCGGATTGAGCCCCCCAAGGAAGATGCCCCTGGGGAACCCACCGACGCCCTAGGCCTGTCCTTACCCCCACACCAATCACAACAGTGAAGGCGGGACCAAACTATGACCCCCCACCCCCACTAGGTGATGGAGCTGATCAAAGGAGCCCAGAGCAATTGATCTGATGTGGTGGCAGAGGCTGTATCAAGACTAATGTAATCTAATAGATAATTTCTATATTGGTTAGAATTAAGATTATTTTTATTTTTCCAGTTCATGAGGACAGTTTTCTTGGCTATGCATAGGGCAGTGAAAACCATATGGGCTATATTCTTTTCTGAAGTGACATTATCTAAGCTGCCCAACAAACACACTAAGGGGGAAGTTGGAATGTTACATTTCAGACACTTCGATAAGTCTTCACATATCTCGCGCCAAAACTTCTGAACTGGTGGACAGAACCAAAGAGCGTGGATATAATTGTCCGGTGAATTGGTTTGGCAGTGTGAGCAGTTGTTGGTAGACGTAAAGCCCATCTTGAACATCCGATGACCTGTATAGTGCACTCTAAGTAATATTTTGTATTGAATTAATTGAAGACTGGGATTTCTGATTAGATGAAAGGTTTTTAAGCAAGTCTGAGACCAGAAGTTTAGGTCTAAGTTAACTGATAAATCCGCTTCCCATTTTGCAATAGGAAGTGATATTGATTCATCTGTTTTAGAAAGCATTCTATATATTTTGGATAGTAATTTGGGGGTTTTAAGAGTAAGAAATTGAACCACACTTGGTGGTGTTTGTAGTTCAACTTGACCGGGTTAAAATTTCTTTTTTACTATGGATTTAATTTGTTGATATTCTAAAAATCTTTTCTTGTTGATCCCATATTGTGTAACTAGTCCGTCAAATGAAATAAATTCTGTTCCTTCTAGTATATGTTCTAAATATTTGATTCCTTTACCACTCCAATCTGAAAAGTTTAGAGTGTGCATCCCTGTCTGGTGCCCCTCAAGAGACAGAAGCTGGAGGATGTCTGGTCATTTTTTCTGACACAAGCTGTTGGGGAATTATATAATATTTTTGACCAGTTGATGAAAGAGGATCCAAAACCAAATTTGTGTAAAGTTGCAAAAAGAAATTTCCAGTTAACTCTGTCAAATGCTTTTTCTGCGTCTAAAGAGAATATTGTAGTTTCTAGGTTTTTACTGTATGAGTAGTCTATCAAATTAAGTAATCTGCGTGTATTTGTTGATGAGTGCCTACCTTTTATGAAACCAGTTTGGTCAGGATGAATTAAGAGGGGGGTTATTTTCTCCAGTCTCTTTGAGAGAGCTTTGCAGATTATTTTAAGGTCTACATTTATAAGGGATATTGGACGATAGCTTGAGGGATATACAGGGTCTTTGCCTGGTTTTAGCAGGAGATTAATGTTTGCAGAATTCATATTTGATGGAAGTCTGCCCTTTTCTTTGATTTCCAACAACGTTCTGTAGAAAAATTCTTTGTAGAATTCTGCAGGAAAGCCGTCTGGACCTGGAGCCTTATTATTGTGCATACTTATCAGGGCTTCCTGGAGTTCACCTGGTGTCAGTGGTGAATCCAGTGCCATTGCTTGAGTGTCTAATAATTTTGGAAGAGTTATGTTGTCCAAAAACTGATCAATTTCTTTTTTAGATGGGTTTATTTGTGGTGAATACAACGTTTTATAGAAATCCCTGAAAATGTTGTTTATTTGTATCGGTTCATATATTGTGTTCCCAGATAAATCTTGAACAGCACATATAGTTGTTTTTTCTTTATTTATTTTTAGCTGGTTTGCTAGAAATTGACCAGATTTATTACCATGTTCATAATAAGCTCTCTGCCCTTTACCAATCCAACCACGGGCCCATCCATCTGGCCCATCAAGACTCACTCTCATTTCATCAGTCCATAAAACCTTAGAAAAATCAGTCTTGAGATGTTTCTTGGCTCAGTCTTGACGTTTCAGCTTGTGTGTCTTGTTCAGTGGTGGTCGTCTTTCAGCCTTTCTTACCTTGGCCATGTCTCTGAGTATTGCACACCTTGTGCTTTTGGGCACTCCAGTGATGTTGCAGCTCTGAAATATGGCCAAACTGGTGGCAAGTGGCAT